ATGTCAAAAACTTGTTAACCACTTTAAATGAGGCTTTAAAGAAATTGCACATTTACTTTTCATACTTAAATTTAGATATTAGTACTGGGAATAGTTAAGTCGTAATATTTAATAAAATTCGTCCATTTAACACTAGAATAATTTATAATAATACATTTTTACCAATAGAAAGTTGTGCAAAATTCTTAGGTGTAATTTTTACAAATAATTTATCTTGGACCAAATACGTGAATTCTATTTCAGACAGAGCTTCTAAGGCCTTTAATGTATTAAAAGCTTTGGCTAGTACTAACTGGCGAGCTGATCCAGAAATATTATTAATGTTATATAAGTCTTTGTTGAGGAGCCATTTTGAGTACGGCTTTCTTTGTTTTGCATCAAATAAAAGATTAGTAAACAAATTAGAAAATATACAATATAAGAATTTAAGACTTATTACCGGCTCTATGAGAACAACTCCTATTGTTTCTTTACAGGCTGAATGTCTTACTCCTCCTATCTTACTTAGGTTTAAATATCTGAAATTTTGGTTTTTATTCAATATTAATTCTTTGTCTCATAATCCTCTTTTTCAAAAAGTATTATTTTACTATAATAGTATGTCTCCTATATCTAACTCAGCCCCATATATACTCCATGACTTTCATGAAGTGATACGATATGATGAACAATATAATATTCACAAAAGCACACATACTTGGCCTTGTTATAAGGGGAATTATGAAAGTAAATTCTGATGAACACATAAATATTGATGAAAAATTGAAAAGAAAGGAAGAGGTTTATGAACTTATATCTACATATGATGAATATCGACAAATTTACACAGATGGGTCAAAAGTTGAAAATAAAGTAGCCTGTGCATTTCACATACCTCATCTGAAAACTGGACGTGGCCTTTCCATTCCTGCATTAGCAAGCATATACACCGCAGAATGTTATGCTGTCTTAATCGCTCTTAAATATATAGAAGAACACCCACATGTATCTAATAAATGGTTACTGATCTCTGACAGCATGAGTGTCTTGAAGGCACTGAAGGCAAGAGCTTTAGATGCTAAAACGTCTTTCATCATATATGAAATCAAAAGTTTGTGGTGGAAATTGAAAGAAAATAATTTGGAAGTAAAATTTTTATGGACTCCGTCACGTATTGGGGTTCAAGGAAATGAAAGAGCAGATCATTTAGCTAAAAGTATAGTTACAGCTGATATTGACAGAATGACCGATGTTGCAATACCACATACAGATTTATATTGAATAAAACTATTTTTACGGATTTTATCGCGTTTAATTAACTTATTTTATATTCCCGACGTTTCGGTTGCTTTCCAGCAACTGTGGTCACGGGGGACTGAGGTAGGCGTGTGTATCTCTTTACGGAAACGACTCACTGATACGAATCACTGAAGTGACACAAAAGATTGGTTCAGTAACAACGTTTCAAATGTATCATTTGTATCTGGAACAGTGAAACATTACTTTGCTCTTTGCTCATTTCGCGCGACGCGTCGCTTGCGAGGCGACTGAGCCACGAGCGAGAGAGAGAGACTGAGATAATGATTAACTTAACTATTGACTCACGAGTGGCGAGTGAGCGAGCGAAATAATTATAATCCACACAAGTCAGATAGAGATAACAAATAAGAAGTGTATCCTCAACTCGTACGGATTTTCGCTGACGTTATTCATGCACGTAAAAATTACCACTAAGGCGCTTATGTTTCAAATACTATACGGTTGTTTTTTGTATGTAACGTTTGCATTAACAAGTTGACATTTTACGTTGATGCGGCACTTGTCAAATTGTTTATATTCATTAGCGCCTGTTTACGAAAACATACTGAGTTATGTTTAGGATTTCTTTGCGTAGTGATTATTGTAACTTTACTTTCTTCCTTTTCATCGTAAAGTTTAGAGTTATGATACTTTACGAATAAATTCTGTGTACATAGACATTGCTGTTTTGTGTAAATGGACATTTTTGTAAATAATGAATTGACATAGTGACATTTTTGTTAAAGTATGAAGGAGAATCGATTTTATATACAATCTTATTACGGTACACAATAAATAATCTAAGCACTTATATTATTCAGCATGGTTGCCACATAATATTTCACGGATTAGTCAGTAATAAACGCCCGCGACGCAACTTAATGTACCTATTCGGAACATTCTTTCTTTTATATCTTTTGAGGCGATGATACAAATGAGCCAAATGAAACATATCAGTGTTTCGGAACATTTCAGTGATCAAGATGCAAATGTTCCAATCCCAAAAATGATACACTTTGCCCACCTCCAGACTGAGGTGATTGACGTCCCGATGTCAGTGTTAAACCGAAGTACCTTCAGCTTTTTTAATTAATAATTTTGGTCCGATCTACGCAAAATGAACTAACTGTGTCTTGAAGTCTTACAGTGGTATGCTTGGGTTTACTTTTAATTTTATGAATTACACGATCCCAAGCAGGTGGTAGTACCCAGCCTCCCTCTCTATTGAAATTAGGATGTTTTTTAATTTGAATTATATTTAATTGGAATTATATTTTATTCATAATACTGTAAAAGAAATATGAAATATGATATCCCTGTTTTTGAAAATATTGGATGGTATAAATCCACATGGATAGAAACTTACAAAGAGTATAATATAAAGAAGACTTGGCTTTAGTCTTTACGGGTTTTTGAAAATATGAAGAATTAAAGAAAATAAGACTTGACTACAGCCTTTATGGATTTTGAAGAGATGGAAAGAAGAAAAATAAGACTTGGTTCCGGCCTTTACACCCGTAAAATTCTATATATTCAAAATAAAAAAGACAAGGCTGTATGGCTTAGTTCCTTTGCCTGCTCTCTCGAGCGAATAATAAAAAAAAACAACAAGAACAGCTTGCTACATATATATTTATCTATGGTTATAATTAGTCTTGGGCTTAGTCGGTCGCTATTGGGAGCGCTCAATTTAGTTCGTAGTCCTATAGCGAACTAGTTCGCTCATTTAGTTCGTTAGTTCCTTTTTAATTTTTCAATAGATCTATGTAAGAAAAGCGCTGGTAGGTTTTCACGACACAGTTCTTTGAACGATGTCATCCGAAGGGCTCTTGCCTCTATAAATGTTCCCTCGGTTTTAGAGCCTTGTGGAATATTTAGAGACGATGGCAAGAGACCCGACGGTATGACATTGGTCCCTTGGGAGAGAGGTAAAGCCCTAGTGTGGGATGCTACTTGCGTAGACACTCTGGCGGCCTCTCATCTCAGGGGTACCTCGTTTAGAGCCGGGGTGGCATCAGAGGCAGCTGAGCTGAGTAAGTGGCGCAAATATGAGTCTCTGAGAGATGACTACATATTTGTGCCATTTGCTGTAGAGACTATCGGTCCGTGGGGTCCACGTGCGATGAAGTTCCTAAAGGAACTCCATCCGCGGCTGGTCGTTGCTGCTGGTGATAAGAGGGCTGGTTCTTTCCTCGCTCAAAGGCTAAGTATAGCCATTCAGCGGGGAAACGCAGCCAGCGTTCTTGGCACGATACCGCGGGGAGTAGGACTATATGATAATTAAGTTTCTAGTTTTAGTTTCTTCTTTTTTTTTTTATTATCATAGTTTTTAATATTGTAGATAAAATTCCTCAGTTTAATGAATTTTTCGAAATCCCCTAGAACTGCCTGTAAGAGCTAAAGCAAAATATAACTCTACATTACGAATAGATTTTATCAAAAACATCTTTATGACGAATTTTTTAGTCATTGCAAAATATATATAGAAGGTATTATTTACCTCTATTTAACCAATTTTTTCAACTTGAAATCTTGAAATAACATATCCTATTAATTATTCTCACTTAATTCCACAATAAATCATGTCTTGACAGGTTCAGACACGTTCACGACAGGCAGATGACTATTTACGTAATGTTGAGGTTAATAAACAAGTTTTCTTCTAAGATGTTTTTAAAGTATAGATACGTTATGCTCGCTCTAAAATGGCATTACGAATGTCAGGTAATTGCCCGACTCGCATTCAGTCGGGCACGCTTTCGCGTCGCGGCTATACCTTCGCTACAGCGCGTTAATCTTCTAGTTACTCGTAGTAAAAATGCCTTCCTGTATTTTTAGGTGGTGCACAAATTACACGGAAACTGTTAGAGACAAGAAAAACGTCGAAAAGATTAGATGTTTTGTTCATAATTGTTTTTATTATTTCAACATTAACCGCTAGTGTAAACTTTGACGCTAGCTAGTGTGTTCATTTCCATATCGGTATGTCACGCGCTCGCGCTAATGAGCGCTCAGCAGCAACCAATGCGCAACTAATGATGTATATTCATCTTTATCTAACGATAGGTATGCCGTATCATTTGTCTCTTTTTGTTAGCGCAACGTGTCATAATAAATAACTGTACGTAAATATAGTACTACCTGCGCCATTTTAAAATACAATAATGTTGGTGTGTAACCTGTCTATCTTTTTTAATACGTCTTTAGTTTTCTTACCTTGTTAAAACTAATCGTAGTTACACCTAACCTCTATATAACAAACCTCATTATAACTAGTTACTCGGTATAATAACGAATACTTTTTAATTCCATTCAGTTTCGTTATATTGATGTTGCACTGTATTCGAGTATTTATAAAAATTAGTAGAAATAGAAAAGTAAAATTTTAATTTTGAATAAACTTACAGTAAAATCGAATTGAGAACTATACGGTATTAATGTACTGTTTACTATCACTTTCATATTCATATTATGAGCCAGCAATATTTGTTCTTTGTTGTGAATTGTGCACTAATAAAACTTTAACTATAGACTATAATTCTATAATAAATTAATAATTAATAAATCAGTCGGTTAGCCATGCAGCGCCACTCCATAATAGAGGGGACGCCAGAAAAATAAATAATTAAAGAACTAAGAGCGGGATTGTCGACGAACTAGTTCGCACAGTTCACCTAAAAGAGCGCTCTCCCACCTAGGTCGTTCGCGAACTACCCAAGACTAGTTATAATCACAAACGTAGATTATCACAAATTATAATAAAGTTGTAGATTATAATTTGGCGGGATGGCGCGTTGGCATGTAGAATAAAGAAATAAAACGTAGTGATTTATTTTAGAAATGTAAAATATAAATATGGATTTGGGAAATATTGTGATTTGCGATGTATATGTGACTAGCATGTGGTTAAAGTGCAGAAATATGTTTTACGTTTGTAGTTGTAGTGGTTGAAATGCGAAGATGAGTGCAAAGTTTTTTATATACGCAGGCCGTCGTTGGCGCGAGTTAGAAACAGAAAGCGGACGCTTATCAGGTTGGGGTCGTGCTAAGTTTGTATTCTTACGATGCGGCCGACTGGTCGTAGCGCGTCGCGGTGCTGTACTTCGCGCGTTGCGAGCTTTGGCAACTGGCCGTGGCAATGCCGCACGAGACGGTTTGCCGTTAAGGTATGCTGCTATTGCAAAATCCATAATTTTCTTCTAGAACGACATTTGTTTACCGTTTTAGTTACATACCTGTAAGGTAAAGCGAGTCTGTTTGTCCGACCGTATTTCTCAGATCTCTGGCTTGTAGACGGAATGAGTTAGGATAAGACCTGAAATTTGGGTTTGTTCCGATCTGGAGCTTGCTTCAAAGTTTACTTTGTGGACTGAAAACACTTAACCAGTCTTATCATAAAACATGGTTTTTAAGTCTTAGGCTGACTTTGCTTTGAGGTTAAGTGAGAGATACAAGTGTCGTAGTTTTTTTCGCTTAAATTTATTGTTACATTAAGTGCTGTTGAGTCACTATAGTAATTTTTTTTGTCTTGGTGGTGGTTTTAATATCTGTAGATTAGTAAGTGTTTTTAATTGTGCCGTTTTTATGTAAATTTTAGTTATAGAAATATAATGGAGGACGAACCTCCCGATCCCGAAAGGGTTCACAATGACTCCTTTACTTTACCCATTGATTATGTAGAATCTATTAATCGTAAACGCGCCCAAATAAGCAATGAATCTGCCCATCCACAAAAAATAGTTATTACTGATCCAAACCAACAGTTTCCTTCAATACAATCCTCATATACCCATCCTGATTTTATTAATAAGAAAGTAAAGTACTCTCAAGATGATACCGCTCCTTTTCTAGTTCACGTAAGCAAAACGTCAAATGATCAAGTGTCCGGAGTAACTCTCAAACCAATTAAATTTGGTAACTTTCTGTATCATAATAACATTAAAAATATAGTCTGTGACGGCGTCAAAAAAGTTGGACGAAACAGGATATCAGTTGAGTTTAAAACAGCAGCGGATGCAAACACTTTTATTGATCACCCAGCTCTTCAGACTTCTAAATATGAAACAATTATCCCTTCATATAATATCACTCGTATGGGGCTAGTCAGACAAGTTCCTATAGAGTGGACATTACAAGAATTAATAGCAGCTATAGAAATTCCCTCTGGATATGTTACTATAATTAAAGCTCGCCGACTCAATAGACGATCAGTGAGTGACAGCAATAACGTTTCATGGATTCCAACTCAAACAGTAGTTCTAACTTTTTCTGGACAAAAATTTCCACCACATATTTATTGTTTTTACACCTCTATGCCAGTAGAAAAATATGTTCTGTCACTCATTCAGTGTCATAAATGTTGCAGATTTGGCCATGTTACTTCTTAGTGCTGATCATCCCCTCGCTGCTTTATATGTGCACAGAAAAGGTTTATCATGTACTAGGCAAACTCCTACTTGTCTATTCTGCTCAGGACCCCACACAGCAAAAGACCCTACCTGCCCTGAACATCTAAGGCAAAAATCTATTAAAATAGTTATGTCACAAGAAAATTTATCATATTTAGAAGCTTCAACTAGATTCCCTCTGGTACGAAGATCCTTTGCTGACGCAACAAGAAGTCTGCCTCGTAATTCTTCTCATCAGACCCCTTATCCCATAAATGACAGTATTTCAGCTCCTTCGGCTCAGCCTTCACAATGTACATCATATAAAAAAACAATCTTTATTCCTCAACGTACTTACAGACAATTATCAAATTCTGGATATGATAAGCCAGCCCATCAGGCAATTGTTGAGAACCCTCCTTCTTCCCTTCCAAATGGGTGTGCTTTACTGGGGAATGACAACATCTCTAATAATGATAACTTCTGCGAACTTATGGTATCAATGTTATTAACATGATTTCCCGTTTCAGTGACGCAGAACTTCCCCTCAGTTTACGTCATAAACTTACTCAGCTTACTTCAATAACTAGCAACATTCATAATTCTACAATGGAATTGTCGGAGCATCAAACATAAAAAGAATGAACTTATCTTTCTTATAAACAAATTTAGACCATCTGTTCTTGCCATTCAGGAGATGTGGCTTAGACCTGACTCCCAATTTAGGATCTCAGGTTATTCATGTCTTCGGGATGATAGGAGCGATGGACATGCTGGCTCCTCTATTCTGATCTCAAAAAAAATTACATATTGTTCTATACCTCTTCCTTCCCACAGCTCCTCGATTAATGCTGTTGCAGTCAAGGCTCTCAACATATCTTTTCTGTCTGTATACATTCCTGATCCTAATGTTACCATCTTAAATGAACTTTTTAATTTTATTTCTTGTCTAACTCCCCCTGTTGTTATCATGGGAGATTTTAATATTCACCATACCTCATGGTGCTCACATCACTGTGATTCTCTATCATCTACGTTTCTAGATATGATAGACGACTTAAATCTTTGCATCCTTAATGATGGTTCTCCTACCCGCCGTGTTTCACCTTCTCAGAATGTAAGAAGTGTAGTGGACTTGACTCTTTGTTCTCCTGGCTTAGTTTCCCTTCTATCATGGAAAACATTACCAAATTCACACGGTAGTGATCACTATCCAATTTTTATCACATCTTCTGACTCTACAAGAGCAAATTCTGAATTCAACCCGAGGTTAAAATATAATTTATCAAAGGCAGACTGGCATTATTATTCTTCTGTTTTAGATCAAGCAACATCAACAATTCCTTCTTTGCATCATGAAAATGTACATTCGGTCTATATGGAATTCAAAAATACATTATTATCTTCTGCCAATAAGACTATTCCTTTAAAACAACCCTACAGAAGCAATTTGGCCTCTCCTCCTTGGTGGGACCAGGATTGCACATCTGCTTGCAAAAAAAGGAAAGAGGCTGAACAAAAATACTCTTTATCAATGACCATGGAAAACTACATTTCCTATAAACAAATAGCAGCTGAAACAGTGAAATTGCTATCTCAGAAGAAAAAAAACGGCTGGCATAGGTTTTGTTCTACTTTATCTCCTTCCACACCTCCTTCTCTAGTCTGGAAAAACATTAAAAGATATTGCTGTTCTAATACAGTTGAACAGAATGTGTCTTCTAATGATCCTTCAATTTGGCTTGAAGAATTTGCACTTAATCTTGCTCCTCCTTCAGTGCCCACACATGCTGAATGTTTAGGTTTTAATTCTCCTTCTACACAATCTCTAGATGAATTTGATGCCCCCTTTTCTTACGAGGAATTATATACAGTCCTTCAGGGTCTTAAGGACTCCTCTCCAGGAGTAGATAGGATTCCTTACTCATTCATTATTAAAAGCAGTAAAAATACTAAAACTGTATTTCTTGACATTCTGAACCACATTTTTGACTCTGGAATTCCTCCCAAAGAATGGAAGACCCAAATAATACTTCCTATTCTCAAACCGGGTAAAGCCAGTGAAGACTTTTCAAGTTACAGACCCATTGCACTGTCGTGTACAATGGAAAAGATACTAGAACATTTGATAAAAAATCGGTTAGAATGGTTCTTAGAGAGTAAGGATGTTGTACCGAAGAGCCAATTTGGCTTTCGAAAAAGCTTAAGCACTATGGATAGCCTCAGTACACTAGTAACTGACATCCGTATTGCTTTTTCTAAAAATGAATACCTTGTTGGAGTCTTTCTCGATATTTCATCTGCATACGACAATGTACTTCTTCCTGTACTCAGGCAAAAAATGCTGAAGCTGAGTATACCAGTGAAGATAGTAAATTATATATCAAACTTTTTCTCTTCTCGGTCTATTTTAATAAATCTACACTTTCGATTTAGATCTTGCAGTCAATTCATTTTGTAATGTCCTACAGTATACAGATGATTTAGCCCTATACATTTCTACAGATAAACTGACTACAGCTAATTCCCGGTTAAATTCTACTATGGAATATTTACAATGCTGGTTAACTGATCACGGTCTATCCCTCTCTGTTTCCAAAAGCAGTATAGTGATTTTTACTCGCCATAAGAATGTCCCTAATATTCCACTTTTATATAATGGCTTACCTATTCCTATTCGGGACAAGGTAAAATTTTTAGGTATGGTACTAGATAATAAATTATCCTTTACACAACACATTGAATACATTTCTAAAAAGTGTGAGAAGAATATAAATATTCTTCGTTCCCTTTCAGGAGTGTGGTGGAGATCTCATCCTTTTTCACAAAAGCTACTATATAATGCTATAATTCGTAGTCATTTAGATTATGGATGCTTTCTTTTAGAGCCTTGCAATAAATCGTCACTTAAAACTTTAGACAAAATACAGTATAAATGTCTCCGCATTATAATTGGTGCAATGAAATCTTCCCCAATTAATGCCCTTCAGGTAGAGTGTGTAGATCCTCCTCTCAACATAAGAAGACAATATCTTTCAGACAGATTCTTCTTTAAGATCTGTCAACTCTCTTCTCATCCCCTAATTCCCAGGTTACACCTCCTCTCAGAATTCTTATCTTCAAGTAGGTACTGGCTCCATAAAGATTGTCCACATTTATTTAATAGCTTAGTCTCATTTCTCCAAATTCCTGGGCCCATTTTCTCATGCAATACAAGTCCACTCTTTAATACTCCTTTCAAAGCTATTATATATCAACCTAACATTCACCTTGACCTAGATATTAGAAAAGGTTCCCCTGAAGCAGATTTAAAATTAAAAGAAGCCATAGGAAAAAATTGGAAAGATTGGATGACCATGTATACAGATGCATCCAAAAATACTGATGATGGCTGCACTGGGGCAGCTGTCTGGATCCCCAGGTTTAAAATAATCCTTAGCTTTAAGTGCCCTTCATTATGTTCCATTTTTACTGCTGAGACAATTGCAATCCATGAAGCTCTGCTATATATTGAATCACATAGCCTAGACAAGACAGTGATCTTTAGCGATTCTAAGAGTTGTTTATCTGCTATTTTGGCTAACCAATTTCAAAGTAAATATAAATTTCCCCTAATTCTTGATATAAAAAGCATTCTGTATATGTGTCATCTTAAAGGGATTTCTGTCTGTTTAGCCTGGATACCTAGTCATAGTGGTATTTGTGAAAATGATAAAGTAGATTTGTGTGCCAAAGAGGCTACTAGAAATGGCACCCCACTAAATGTTACTTATTCCCAT